ATCATTTGGTGACATCACTCTCATGACAGGGTCGCTTAGGTGTTCCCCCGCCCCTACTCAGCCCCCCAGGAACACCCCCAGTTTGCCCAGGTGCAAGAACTCTGAAGGCTTTTCCCCCCCCCACAAAACAAGTTTGCCACTACACAAGCTCTTGGGGGAGAATGAGAATGACATAATGTCCATCTGTCCATCCATCCATCCATCCATCCATCAATGTTCCAACTGCTTGGTCAGGGTAGTGTGGCATCACATATACTTTATTTACTACAATTCATTAAACAGGAATAAATATATCGATTCTGGAATAAAACAGTGGGTTATAAATATCCGTCCTTCTCTTGTAACCACTTATCCTGGGCAGGACTGCGGGGTTATGCTGCCTAAAAAGACAAAACTAAATACGCTGACACTGAAACTGAGGAAAAGGGCCTCAGGGTTTTTTGACCATCCACCCGTATGTGTAGTGGGAAGGTAAATGATAAGGTACTTATTCAAAACTGAACATAGCAGAACTAAGATATTTAGTCATGAGATAAAACTGAGCCTAAGAGACCAGATGTTGGTTATGACTCCCTTATCTCAAATTTGATTGTTTGATTTGAGTGTTTTGCCTTTGTGGGGCAGTATAGTAAATAGCATTTATTGTGATCCTATGCCCAGTTCCTCCTATCACAGGCCCAGGTTCAGTCTATACAGTAGCCTGTTACAGAGTGAGGTATTCTAAGGTTTCTTTCATAAACAGTGCTCAGTCAGTAACCTGCGCTTTGCCATCCTGTTCTAAAAGCTGATTCCCCGCAGGGATGGATTACGGCCCTACCCTGCTATGTGCCTGCCTCACTCAAAGTTATTTCCGTGCAGAAACGTTAGCGCAAGCTTATTAAAATGCCGTTTGTGAGTTTTCGGGAACTCGTGGCAACTAACGCACTTCCACTAATTGGGCTTCCGTAACTAAGAACGGTTTCGGGTAGAGCACGCTGGCACCCTTCCAGGGATATGTGCAGCTCGGAGTCAGTATTTTTCCACAGCACACTATACCACTGGGTTCATTGGAGGGGGAGCACTGTTACCTCATACCTCCCCTCCCACACACACACACACACACACACACACACTCTATTTGTGTGTAGTTCATATATTTATGTAATTAGGTCAACTAATGTTTTCTATATTGACTATAGTGTGTTTCCCCTGTGACAAACTGGCACCCTGTCCAAGAAAAACTTCAACCCCCTAACCCCGCTGCCCCCCCCCCCCCCCCCCGTGACCTAATACTAGATAACTGGTTGGGAGGTGGATGGATTCCATAGCACTTTTCTGAATGAGACACAGCGGTGATTTATACATTTATGCAGGCCTAACATTCCTCACATTCGATCTGTGGGCAGTGAGAAATTGTTTTCTGAGATTTGAGATGTTTGATATTTATGGGAGCGAGTGTGTTAATGTTGGATCGATACCGAAATTTTGACTTTGATACTGAGACCAGCTTTGGTACCTCGGTACTGACACTGTAATACATTTAAATATTATCACTTAAAACAAAAGCAATAGGCTATAATATAGTTTTAACATTAACAGTGAAATACACATAGATTAAACTCCTTTCAATGCAAAGATTGTGATATTAATTTGGCCTCATTGATCGTATACTAATGTTACGTTTATATTTGTTTGTTCTTTTCGCCTATTTTTCATCACTGGGGAGACGAATATCAATGAACTCACATGTAGGTTAAACATAACATTACACAGAAACACCAAATGTAATAACCAATTAATTACATCATTGCCATGTGTCTATCTGTTAACACGTGCACCATATCTTTGAACTCCTTACATAAATCTGGGTGAGTGAGAGATAGACGCTTTGCCAGGATCTCAGACGGGCTAAAAACTCATTTCTCAAGAGAATCAGTATCTATTTGAATAAACAGGGGTATTGAGATGGCAGCAACACGGCACCGCGATGATACTTAAGTGTGTACAATATGTACCCTAATAGAAAAGGTAACTGTGATGAGCTGAAATGTTTTTCTGCTCCAATTCCACTGTCTTATTTGTGAAATTGCAATAGACAGCCCCGGAAAATTAACACTTGAACAAGAGAACCAGTGAGTCAAAGACGATTAACCCTGACACATTTCCACTAATCGAGAAACAACAAATGGCAGCAATAAATCACACACAGAGAATTCTGAATCTTATGATGACCTTACTTGCTTCACATATTACAGACCCTTTATTGGGTATGGACCTTTCTCCGCTCTTGGGTTCCTGGTATACCTCGTTGTGGAGAGGTACCTTATGATTGTTGGTCCTCTCTGCTACCGCTCTCTCTTCACACTTTGGGGTTTATTTGTTTAATTTGTATTTCTCAACAGCTGTTTTCTGATGTTTGACATTTTGTAATGTTTGTTCACAGCTCTACTGTTCATTCCTTTACCTTGGCTTTTGTTGCTCTTTCTTAGCACATGGAGGTTCCTCTCTAAGTCCATCACATTGTCCAACAGAGAAGAAACACATTTTAGCCACATTGTAGCTTGCAAAGGTCAATTATACTTTTCTGTTTCTTCCCCAAAGTATATTGCAACCACAATTATTGTACCATTCATCGACTGTGCTTTCTGTTATTCTCTAGTTCTCCTGCGGACCCTCTGCTGTACGTCGGAAAGATACAAATCACATAATGGAGGAATTTCCTTACTGCTAAATGTCTCCCAGAAGCCAAAGGAAAAAAGGAAAATGAAAATCCACTGGGGAGGCGTAATGCACTCTCAGGAGCAATGATTTTGGATTTTCTGAAAAGTGCTACTTTTCTGCCAAATCCTAATCATGTCAGGGAACATTTTACATTATTCATCTTGATTCTGCTGACAGAATGTTCTTTTATTTCAAATTACAATTGCAATTTTTACTGCTTAAAATGATATTTAATGATTTCATTAGAGTTAAGAGTTAAATTTTTAAAATATAATGGAAATCCGGTGCTCACATGCAAACATATATACAGTACCTGGATATTTACAAGGTTTAGGTTAAAGAAATAGAAGATGCACAGGATTTAAATCGACAGGGTCTGTGCCCTGAAATCTGCTACTTACAGAGAATGTCACTCTTGAGTGATATGTGCATTTTCAATTTGGGGTTAATGGTACTGACTTTAGTTACTAAATTGCCCATAGGTGTGCATGTGTGAGTGAATGGTGTGTGAGTGTGCCCTGCGATGGGCTGCCCCCCCATCCAGGGTTGTTCCCTGCCTCGTGCCCATTGCTTCCAGGATAGGCTCTGGACCCCCCGCGACCCAGTAGGATAAGCGGGTTGGAAAATGGATGGATGGATGGATGGTACTGATTTTCTTTCCAAACTTTTCTCTTAAATATGTATATTTCCCACACTTAGTATAATTAGTATATGATAAATGTTTGCTAAAAATGTTTAACATTGTTATTGAGCCCAAAACTGCAGCCTATGTTTATGTATAAAGTCACCATTTAATAATTTCTGCTGTCTGTTCCAGATCCGAACCACAATTACTTTAAGTAATATCCAGTAAAAAACTGTTACATTTATTTGCTGGTTTGGCTTTATGCCTTTCTTTCCGAATTCTTTTTACAACTTGGGTGATTATTTTTCCCAGAATATACATGACCTTAGTCCCCCTGCCACTTTGTTGTCCTGATGATCTGTAAACTTACACCTTTCAATGTCACACAATTAATGCAGGCCAAGCAGCAATGTTTCACAACACTGCTTGGGAAACAAATGAACAAACTACAGGCCGTGAGAGTTTTTTCACAGGTCTTTACACTACCAGAGCCATGAAATATACTACTGACAACTTATAATTTGCAAGAAAATAAAATCTTTTCATTAACATTGACAAACTCTCAAATTGCCTTGGGCCAGTTCACTTAGTAATTGTTCCAATTTGTTTGTCTCTCTGCCCAATGTGTGGAATGATGTGCAGGACATATTCATCAATATTTTGTGTGTGTGTCGTAGGGGACAGATCTTTTCCAGTTGTTCCCGTCTGTAAGGTTCCTCCAGCTCGCAACTACTGCTGATCGATAAATCTCACAAATCGTTCAAATTGTAATTTAATCCTACCGTGAGAATATGCAGTCACTGCGGAATGCACCCAGACTATTCTGACCAGAAACCTTTTAATGTGATTGACCTTTTATTCTCGAACGCCTCCAAGCGTGTTCCGTATGAGACTCCCCGCTGCCCGCAGCCACGTCGCTCGCTGCCAAATACAGCGCAGCATCGCTCTCGCAACTGAATCACGTGACTATCTTCACTACACAAGGTCACCTGGTACAAAATACTATAAGCAAATCAGGGAAGCGGACCAATGATCAAGTTGTCATGGATACAACTGCATTAAAATAAAAATTGTCGCGTTACTTCAAAGGAAAACAGCGTATAGGGATTTGGGGAGTTATAATACATTAAGACCGGCGTCTCATCTGGCGTGAATTCCACCTCACGCTCCCTGGATTGTGAACAGATGATTATGGAAAAAGGATGGATGCGTGAAAAGGTGAAACCAGCAATAATAATTGCGTAATTATCAGCCGCATTAGCAAGTGTGCAAAAAAACCGCAAAAAACATTCAGTTGCCGCAATCATATTGTTGTATACTAATATGCTGCTAACAAGAAATAAACCTGCATCAAACAAGAAGGTTTGGTAACGTTTTACATTAATTACACCTTCATAATGCATTCATAGAACATTCGGCGCACGTTCATACACCATGTAACTACACCTTAACATTCTAATATATATTAATAACAAACGTTTCACGATTAATGTATACTACAGCTGTTAAAATGTTAGGATGCTAAGGTATACTTACATGCTTCAAAAGAATGTTGTGCAAATGCTTTATGAATGCATTATAAAGGCATTATGAAGGTACAGTTAATGTAAAGATAGTCAGTTATTTTAGCAGTGGAGCACACCTGAAAACTGAAAAAGCAGCCAAACCAGTCCAGTATTTCATATTTCAGCTTTATTGAATAAAATACGGTATAAGACAAAAAATAACCTTTTTTTGAAGTTCAATCTCTACAATGCAAGAAAATTACAGATTACAGCCAGAAACCAGTAACAAACATGTTGAAGCAGGGGTGTGACTTCCCAGAATGCACTGCAGCCACAGTTGTCAGTGACAGATCCCATGGGCATCAGAGGTGTGACAGAGGCCAGGCGGAGGCCAGCGGTGTGCGGCCAGGAAGTGGGCAGAGCTTCTGTGGCCCAGGCGTGCGAGCGACTCCGATGTGGCGAGGGGATTCAGAGTGGGCCGAGGCGCTTTGGCAGGGAGCGATGCCCCTGGTGGCCGGAGTCTGTATGCCAGCTGTCCGCCTTGCCTCCGTTCACACGCTCCCCAGCCTCCATTTTTAAATCCCACTCCTCGGTTCCCTGAATCTTATCCTATCACCAGAAATCCTAACCTTGTTTAATACTTTCCTGGGTTGCATCAGTATCCCAGTAAACTAGAATCAAAAGGTCTGTTCTTACTTCATTATCAATAGAGATAGTAATATTTTACCCCTAGGCTTACTACAGAGCAAAGTATGGCACATATACAAGTCGCCTACTCGTTATACTGTTTACCGTCATCTGATACCGTAGTGATGGTTTACAGTAACGTCAGGCTTCATTGGTAACCAAATGTAATTCCTAGAAACAGTCACCGGCCTAATACACTCTGTAGGTGAGGTTGTAGCTTGGTCTGATGTTGATCGTACAAGCTGAACACAGTACGTCACTATAGTCGCCGGACCGTTAACTTCTCTGTTTCACATGTATTGCTGTTTTCACGGCCAAGACCATGACAGCGAGCTTCATAAAAACCTACTGGATGGAACTGAATCATGTTATCAGATACGTATTCTCAGTTCCGCTAAGCTGTCGAAAGGGAGCTGGCGAAAGCCGTGTGAATTTTGGGTGGGTGCGCAGGCATTACTTCCGGCGTGTTTTGGTCTGCAGTCAGTAAACAAACGAGTCATTTCAAACCCTACCCCCCCCCCCCACCCCCACTGCTTTCGCGCACCACCAGCCGATGTCACTTCCTGTCAACGTTCGGATCTGTCCTTTGCTTTTGTTTAATGAACTGGCGTATGCAAGCCCTGATAGTAGGGATCGCTGCACGGTTTCCCGGCTTGTTAAATGAAAATTAGCACTTTTCCTTTCAGAATGTTTAAGATTTATTTTGGAAGGACACCAAAACCCACCCCCCAGCCGCATAGGCACACGCTGCCCAGTGCCTCACAGCCTGTGGGGGTTAACCCACTTGTATGTGCCTTCGTATCGAAAGCCCACCTTCTTCGAAAGGTTGTCCGCTTCAGGGGGCCCCCGGCTGAGGGGAGAGGATAGTACAAAAATGAGCGGGGGGGAGGGGGGGGGCTCAAAGTGACCCCAAATTCTGACAATTTTCATAGGAGCTGCTAAAATTAAGTCATGTACACATTGCTGAGGAAATACTAGATGCAAAGTAAACCAAATGTTAAAACTGCACTCCAGAAATATGTTACTCAGATGCTCAGTTGAACTAAGCCTGCTGACCCCATTTTCTCACCCCTACCAGCCCATCCTAAGGGGTTCCTGTTCCCCTCATCCGCTGCATTTTGCCATTTTTTTACTGGCACACCATGCTGGCGTTTGTGTATGTACATGTGAAGCACTCCGGGGAAACTAAAATGGGAGGAGTACCTCATAAAAATAAACTGAACTGAAATGAATAGATAAAAATGAAAAATCAAGTCAAATCCCCGCAAAAGCATAAGCACAGTAAAAGCCATGTACACAGTTTCATGGTGCAGGAGGACTTGAAAAGGAGAATGACAGCCGCAGAAAATCGGATTTAGTGCATCAGAACCCAATGTACTGTTGGTGGGTTTTTCCTAAAAGGCATCAAAACATGCTGAAACGTTCGGGTAAATGGCATTCCTGTTACCGGTCCTACCTTCCATAAGTATAGGGGATTGGGGAGACCTTTTCTTGCTCGATCTGGTGAAGGAGAGGCGTGAATATCCTCCAAGCTTCCCTAAGCTCATCGCTGGAGGGAAAAACAGTTAAAAGCTTAAGAGGTACATCAAGCACAGAATGCATGAGAAAATTTAAGTGGACTGGAGCACCATCTAGTGGATATAAATTTGCACAACCGAAGTGGTAGCTACCAAATAGTCCAACGCACCTGCGAACAAAGTGCATCTGACTCCCACAGAAGACGTCCAGAATGAGGCGCTCATACGCATCTGGGAGCTTCACATCCTGATGGAGGGTAGGGGGGATACTGTGAGCTGGGGGCTAGAGTGTGAATGTGCAGTCGGGGGCGCCCCCCAGTGGCCATTGCGATGCGAGCGATGGCCGGAGCCTCACCCGGTAGCGGCTGCGGTACGTGAGGTCCAGCTCGGTCTCCTCGGGGCTGAAGTACATGCCGGGCTTCTTGCTCATCATTTTGGCGTAGACGGCCTCGTTGGGCTGCACCCGCACCACCAGCTCGTTCCGCCGGCAGTGTCCGGCGAAGATGTCGCCCGGCACGTCGGTGAACTGCAGCCTGACCTCGGCCTTGCGTTCGTTCAGGGCCTTTCCGCACCGCAGCACGAACGGGACCCCTGGGGGCAGGAAGCCAGTGAATGCAGGGTGACAGCTCACACCTGCCTAGCATCCTGTGCTGAAGTGAAAGAGAACGTAACCCTGGACAGGAGAATGGCAGAGAACGTGACTTCAGGAACGGTGTAACCCGGCCACGCCCGTCTGCAGGAAGTCAGGCTGCTTCCTGGAGCAGCCTAGAGGTTCTTGTC